CACCAAAAGGCATAGCCATCATTTGGCACAGGAGCTTTACAGATATAAATTAGAATGGCAGCTCTAGGACAAAGTATGCAGGAGGAGAAGCATGGCAAAGTGAAGATAACTTGGATGGGAAACGAATCACAATAGTGTGCATTGCAATGCACACTGACAAGGAAATAAAAAGACTTGTGAGAAAAAACTTATTTAAAAAATAATTAAACAATAATTTAAAAGACACAAATCCATCCATCCATCCATTTTCTGTACACACTTCTTCCTTTTCAGGGTTGCGTGGGTCACTGGTGCCGATATCCAGCAGTCACAGTGCGAGGGGCGGGGTACACCCTGGACAGGTCGCAAGTCCATCACAGTTTTAAAATTTAATTGGTGCGTTTATTGGTCCGTTTACATATTTCTGCTTTTAYTTGTAATTATGTCAGTTTCGGTCCTCCACAGTTAAAGACAGACAACCACATAAGCAAAGGGGACGTCTCTCGTGTGAAAGAAAAACTGGCCCTACTTTTAGTGCTCAAAGCTGATGAGTCTGTACGGCTCCCTGAGGAAGCTCCATGGCCTCATTAAAGTAATGTGCTGTAATAGAAGGAGCATGAATCCTCAGAGTAAAAGAGGTGGTTGGAGGGAACAAYTGGATTTACCTACTTGTTCTGTTTGCTCTGTCTTGAGGTCTCTGTATCACTGAACAGAAATTCCTGGGTAATCTTTAAATCTGTGCAACAAAGCATCAAACCTTACCAGCACAATCTGCTTCACGGGACTGAAATCAGACACTGCTGCTCTCGATGTAATGTCCTGTATGATGCTGTCTTTTTTCAGCAGCTTGTACGGGCTTTGCTCTGTGACATGTTCATCAACAAGGCAGCCGAAGAGCTTCTGGGTGTCTGACGTCAGGACCAGAGGGACGATATCTTCTGGGTGACCTTGACGAGAAAAAAAACAAAAGGCAAAAAGAAGTTTGTATATTCAAAAGCAACTCTTTATCTTACCCTTTTCGAGACTAGACATAGTTTATTTATTTATTTATTTATTTATTTATTTATTTATTTATTTATTTATTTATTTATTTAT